TGCTGATGGTTTCTTTTGAAGTACAGAAGCTTTTTAGTAAGATGAGATCCCAGTTGTTGATTCTATCTGCTAGTTCCCGTGCTACTGAGGATTTGTTCATAAAGCCTTTTCCTATACCAATGTCTTCCAGAGTTCTGCCTAACTTACCTTCCAGCAAGTTTAATGTTTCTGTTTTAATATTTAGATCTTTAATCCATTTGGATTTTAATTTAGTGCATGGCGAAAGATAAAGGTCTAATTTTAATCTGTGGCAGGTTGACATTCCTCCTGTTATTTCTTGTACAGTGGAGTTCTGTTCAGAAAATCCTTGACTATGCCTGTGACTTCAAGAGTTTTTCCTTTTTTTATCTTTCAATATGTTTCTGTTTTAATATTTAAATATTTGATCTGTCTTTGATTTTAATTTAGCACATAGTAAGAGATATGGGACCAGCCTCAATCTTCTATATGTGGGTGTCAGTTTCCCCAGGACCATTTTCTAAAGAGATTATTTTTCCTCCAACATGTTTTTGGGCCCCTTGTCAAAGATCAAATAGGTGAATGTATCTGTGGTAATTTCTTTGTAATGTATTCTTTTCTGGTTTTGTACTAGTGCCATACCATTTTTCTCATTGTAGCTTTGTAGTAGAACTTGAAATCAAGTATTATGATGCCTCCTGCTTTGCTTTTTTTGCCTAAGACCACTTCTGCTATTCTGAGACACTTCTGATTCCATATTAATTTTAGGATTATTTTCTCTAGTTGTGTGAAGTATGCTGTTGATATTTTGTATATATGCTGTCCAAGTGAGCACTGCTCTTGATATTTTGATTGTGGTTCCATTAACATATTCCCAACAGCTTCAACCACTAGTGGTACATGCACAACTGTCCCACTGATTGGCTTGAACTACCAGCAGTGAGCTTAATATTTAACATCAGACAGTGGAATTCAAATCAGAATCTCCAGGTAGAGACATACAAGTTATGGCCCAATCACTATTACGTTAAATCTATATATCACTTTTCACCATCACTTTGGTCATTTTGAGAACATTGGTTCTGTCTATCCATACAGGAACAGGAAATACTTTTTCTCTGATGAGCTCTTCAATTTCCTTTTTTAAAGTACAGTAGTTTTCATTATAGAGGTCTTTCACTTCCTTAGTTAATTCTTAGGTATTTAATTTTTCTTGATGCTATTATGAATGGTATTTTTTCCTTAATTTCCTTCTCAGCATGCTCTTTATTGGTGTACAAAAACACTATCAATTTTTGTATGTTAATTTTCTGTCCTACTACATTGCTGAAATTGGTCATTAAATCTTTTGGTGGATTTTTGTGGGTCTTCTGTGTAGAAGATCATGTTATCTGCAAATAATGATAATTTTCCCTCTTCCTTTCTTTTATGTATCCCTTTTATTTCTTCTTTGATTGCTCTGGCTATTGGAGTACTATGTTGAACAGAAGTGGTGTTGATTGTGGGCATCCTTGTTGTCTCTGATTTTAGAGGGAAAAGTTTTTAGTTTTTTCCCATTTAATTTAATGTTGGTCATTGGTTTGCCATAAATGGCTGTCATCAGATTCAGATAAGGTCCTTCTATACCTATTTTCATGAATAGGTGTTGGATTTTGCCAAAATCTTTTTCTGCATCTATACATATCATCATGTTTTGTCCTTGCATCTTTTTATGTGGTGTATAACATTTATCAATTTGCTTAGGTTAAACCATCCTTTAAATTATGGGATGAAACCTACTTCATCGTGATGTATGATCTTTTTGATGATTTATTGCATCCTATTTGACAATATCTTATTGAAGAGTTTCATATTTATGTTGATTAGGGGCATTACAGAAAAGGGGAATTATGGGGGTATGTGATTCCAACTTTATTTTTTAGTATACCTGTTAATGAATTATTAACTTGAATTTTATTAGCTTTATTAAACAATGTGTACTTAATAGGAAAATAAAATAAGTTTTCAATATGTAATGAGTATGTAGATTAAAATGTAGATTAACATTTTCACCATCAACTATTTACCTGCTTACAAGGTCTTAAAAAAGCAGCAGCAGAAATAAATTCCTACATGAAGTACAATGAAAATACAAACAAAACTCTACCACAGAGGTAATCTTTGTTTCAATTATCACACCAAAGGCAGTTTTTATATTACTGTTTGACAAACCATACTTGTCACCTCTGTCTTCCTATTATATTTTACAATGTGCACTTACCAGAAAAATTAATATTCATAAAATAAAATATCAAATATGTATTAAATGTTTAGAATAAACATCAACACTTTCTACATCAACTGTTTACTAAATGTAAAAAATAACAGCAGAAATAAATTCCTATGTAAACTACAATGAGAATACAAATAAAACTCTACCACAAAAAGAATCTTTTTAACACACCAAAGGTAGATTTTACAATGAGAACAGCATGTTCCTTATACAAGTATCACTTACACTGACAGCACATCGTTTTGTTTTCCTGTCTCCTTTGATAGGACATACTTAACCTCTTGTTGGTCTTCCTGTTTTCTTAGGAATTCTTTTGATGTTTTACCTGTCTGTTCACAGGTCTGCTCCAGAATTCTTTTGCACAGTTCTTTGGACAGATACATATTGTTCTTCATTTATCAATTCCAGTCCAAATTCTCTACGAAAATTTCTCCATGATGTTTTGTGCTGTTACTTTCTCTGTAAACTATGAAACTATGCCTGACATATTTGGGATCCAGTAAAATGCAACCATTGGCTAATGCTTTGTGACATCATAGTTGCTGCAAAACTCATCAACAAAATCTACTCTGCCTTTATTTTGTTGTAAAATGTGACCATTTCTGGCTTCATTTATGTTGAGGATTCACTATCAATCATTTTGTTTGGTTTTTTTGGTTTTTTAAGACAGGGTCTCTCTACATAGTCCAGGCTAGCCTTGAGCTCACTATGTAGAACTGGCTGACCTTAAATTCACAGGATCCTCCTGCCTCAGCCTCTCAAGTGCTAGGATTATAGATGTGAATCATCACCCCCAGTTTCACTATCAATCTTACCAAAAGGATGTAACACTGATAGTATCAATACTACTTTGTTTTTCTTCACTATGTAGAAAGGAATCCAATGTCATTTCTTTCTGAAATCCAAAGCTTGTACTATACTTTTCTTTATTGTGAACCTGCAACATTTTTTCAGGAATCTCCATTTTGTTCTTGTGAATAGTTTCTGTGCTAGTCAACTGATGTTTTTTAGCAAATGTAACATCAATGGGTAACTTATGAAACAACTGCAGAATGTGACATTTGGGTTACTTTTTTAAATCGGTGCAACAAGTCTGTTTACAGTGTCATATGGTTTATTATTTCATGAATAAAGACCTAATGGCTGAATTCCAGAACACTTTTTTAAAATTCAAGGTATAAAATGTCTTTGCCTCCACCAGCGCACATATTTTTATACCATATTTGGAAGGTTTATTTGGCGTATATTGCTGAAACCTTCAACAACCACAAAATGATACTAGTTGTCAATTGTCATGTATTCAGACTATTTAAATTGCTTAACAGTTCAAACCAAAGCTTTCAAAAAAGATTCCGATAATTAGAATGGTAAAGTCCTACTATGAAAGCTTTTCAGTTCAGATAATAAGATATCATGATAAATATATATTTGAGTGTTACTATTGGTGCACATAGAATATTTTACTTGCATTTCATTATTAGTGTATTTCAATACATCTTGTAGCATATCTTCCATTACAAACAATTTCCAACGTTGAACTGCAGTGTTGGAATTCTGTTCAATAGGTTTCATCCCTAGCAAGAACCAAATAACATTTTCTGACCTAGTTCAAATGTTGGGTCATTCAGGTATATATGACCATTTTGTAGCATTTTTGACTAGTCAGATATTTATTTACATTACTGTTTCCTTCCTTACCTGAATCAAAATCTTCATTTTGTACTTCTCTACTGTCATATCTTGCTAACTTCTTTGGCTCAAATGATCCAACTCATCCTCAGTTCCTGAGTCATTTCTTGACTCACTTTCAAACTCCTGTCAAAATTGTAAAAGTGGATTCCATGCAACATTGTACCGAATTGGGCTAATTCTACAAGAAAAATTAAAAGAAAACATTCAATTAAAAATTATAAATATACAAAATGTAATACAGCACATTTACCCTTTGACACATGGGCACATACCTTACCATTCATAGTACCAAGTGAGTGAACACAAAAATTGCTTCCCATATCCCTGAGGTGTAGCTACTGACATGCACTGATGGCTACCACTATGCCAAAGTATATATTTTCATTAGAAAAATATGGTTGTAGTGCATTTTACCTGCCCTTATGACCCTGGGGAGATTGATTTGTAGTTTCCTTTTTGGGAGAGGGGTGGTTGGATCAGAGTGATGCTGACTTCCAAAAATAAGTTGGATAAACTACATCTCTTTCAATTTCATTGGAGAGTTGAGGGGTATTGGTGTTATAACACCCTTAAAGTTCTTGTATAATTCAGCATTGAATCTATTAGGTCTTGAGCTCTGCTTAGTTGATACAGTTTTTATAAATGCCTGAATTTCATTGCTTGTTTTTTAGTTGTTCAGAATTTTTATGCCTTCTTGGTTTAATTTAGGTAATTTTTGTGTATCTAGGAATCTGTCTATTTCTAAAAGATTTCCAATTTTTTAGAACACAGTTTTTCATAGTAGTTACTATCTACTGGATTTCAGTAATGTCCATTGTGATTTTTGTCCTTTTCATTTCTAATTGCATTGATATGAGTCTTTTCTCACTTTTGGTAAGTCTCGTTAAAGGTTTATCTATTTTGTATATTCTTTCAAAGAATCAGTTTTTTTATTTGTTTTGTTAGTCTCAATTTCATTTATTTATGCTCTGATTATTATGGTTTGGGATTTTGTTGGTTTTTGAGTACTTAAGGTCCATTAGGTTATTTATTTGTACTCTCTCTGTTATTCTAATTTGAGGATTGATTGCAACAAGCTTCCCTCTCAGGGCTACTTTCACTGTGTACATTAAGTTCTGTTATCTTACACTGGCATTGTCATTTGATTCTAGAAATTATTTAATTTTTCTTGATTTATTCTGTGACCCACTGGGTGTTCTAGAGTTTATTGTTAGGCCAGGGATTTACCTCAGTGGTGCCACCAACTGCCTTGCAAGAGCAAGATCCCTAGTTCAATCTCTGGTACAAAAAAAAAAAAAAAAAAAAAAAAAAAAAGAGTTTGTTAAATTTTCATGTATTTATAGTTTTGATGCTGTTAAGTTTCCAGGTGTTTGTAGTTTCAATGCGCAATAGCATGATAACATAAGTGGGGTGATTTTTACTCTTTTGTATTTACTTAAACTAATTTTGTGAACTAATATGTAATCTATTTTGAAGAAAGTTCCATGTTATGCTCAGGAAAAATGCTTATTCTGCTGTAGTAGGGTAGAACACTGTGTAGATATCTATTATGTCCATTTGCTCAAATGCTGATTTTCATTATTAATTTTGTTGTTGTTGTTTAGTTGTTCTGTCTCTTTGTGATAGTTGAGTATTGAGGTAACTCACTATAATTTTGTTGGTGTTTATCTGATCTTTTATGTCCAGCAGTATTTGCTTTATGAAGAAAGGTGCTCTAGGATTTGGAGCATATATATTTACAAGTGTTATCTCTTCCTGTTGGATTGATCCCTTAACTAGTATATAGTAAACTTTTTGTCCCTTCTGATCAGTTTTAACCAGTTTATTTTGAGAGTAAAACTGTTCTACCTACTCAATTTGGGGGTGCTAGTGCATAAAAATTTTTTTCTATTATTTGATTTTTAGTTTATGGCATCTTTTCTGATCAGATAAGTTTCTCATGTTCCCATGTGATGTATGTTGTTCGTTTGTTTGGAGTTTTTTGTCTTGTTTTGTTTGTTTTGGTGCTGAGGGTTGGGGTCAAGTAGGGTGAAGAGAGATTGTAGTTGATATGAAAATCTTTCTAGTTAGATACTGCCTTCCAGAGATGTGTTTTCAGCTTAATCTGTCCAAAGATGGTATTTACCTTTTCATCTGTTTAATTTAAATGGTTTGGTTTCTGTTATTGTGTTCTGAGGAAATAATTACTTCTGGTTATAACAGCATCAACAGACCTAAACATACATTGCTTATATGTGATGCACCTTGCATTTACACTGTCATTCTTTGTAAGTATTCTTTGCAGTATTACACTGTTATTAGCAGTTAGTCTGTGATGTAGAAGGAGAATTTAAGGGAAGAGATGGAGGATTGGTGAAAGAGGAATGTAAATCAGTAGGAGAAGAGGTAGATAGGAGAAATAAGTGAAAAAATTAGACATTGTCTTTTGTTTCTTTAGTGTACTTTCTTAGTGGGTGATAAATTTAATCCAACTATAGTTTAAATTGCTTTAGTCTGCTGAATAATAATGTTGAGAGATTATCATATCTGTAATTGTAGTCACATCTATTTATATTTAAATCAATAGCACACTATTTTACTTATTGTAGTTTGAACTTGTAAAGTAAAAATCAGCCAACTCCCACTTTCTTTTTCAAAATTATTTTCTCTACCATAGGTCTTAAATTGAGATTTTAATTGATATTGCACTAAAAATATATATTGATTTGGGAGAATTGACATCTTAACCATACTGAGTCTGCCAATCCTTAAATACGGTATAGTTTTCAATATATTGAAGTATTATTTAGTTTTTTCAGAGCATTATTTGGTAATTTTCCATACAGAGAACATATAATTCTTTAAATTTATTCTTCAGTACTTGATATTTTGGGATGCTATTATACCTGTATTGTATTGTATTATATTGTATTTTTCAAATCACAATTTCAATTGTCAATCTAAAGTTTAAAAATGAATTTGATTTCTGGTATAAGGACTTTCCATCCTGTGATTTCATTTCATTTTCTTATCAGCTGTAGTACTTTCTGGTGATTCTTCAGTATTTATTATATATTCAATCTGACCGCCTGAAATTGCAGACTCCTGTAGTATTTATGCCTTTTATGACTCTTCTAGTCTTGTCACATCACCTGGACTTTTGGTGCAAAGATGAATCACATGGGAAAGGTGCACCTCCTATACTTCACCATTGAACATGATGTTAGTTCTGGATGTAATGTAGACACTTTCCATCAAACTGAGGAAGTATTTTTCTATTTCTACTATGCAGAAAATTTCTCATTCTAAATTAGTTTCAATTCTTTATTGCAATTCTAGCCTTGGATTCCCTGGGTGAATTTTATTTTTGTCCTAATATGCTAAAATCTATTTGTTAATACCTTCTAATTGCTGAAATCAATTTGATAGCATATTGTTAAATATTTCTGTTTCTAACTCCATGAGGGGTATTGTTGTTTCCCCTTTATTTTCCTTTTTGCAATATACAGATCAAGTTTTGTTTTTACAGTTATTCTTTTCTCCTGTTTTCTGAATTTGCTTGAATAAGATTGGTATTATTTTGTCCTTAAATGTTTTAGACATTCCACCACAGAAAAAAATGGTACAGTGTGTATGTGTATATGCAAGTTTACAAATTCAGTCAGGATTTTTTAATTAATTGTATTGGTACATTTACTGTATACAATATAATGACATTCATTGCAGGAAATTTGTACATTTCATAATCAATCTTGGCTTCTTATTTTCTCCCCATTCCCCTGCCCTCCCTTCAACCCCTCCACCCCTCCCTATCTAC